ATATATATATATATATATATATATATATATATATATATGCACCTGAGTCATCATTCGACACAAAATAACAGAAACATATCGAACGAGCATGTAAATACAAGCATTTGCTTAGTATGTTTCCACTATGTGTGCGTCTGGATCAGCTAATGTACAGTACGGTCACGTGACGGATAACAAGCTAAGCCGTCAATCGCTTAGGAAGAACCGCGAGACCATAAGAGAATTTTCCTGCTGCAACAAACACGAAACTATTATCCGTTTCTCTCGTATAGTTGGTAAGAACGCATTTTTTTGGGGACCGTGTGAATGCATTATGTCTGTGCTTTGGTACATGCATGCTTTGTTGGCCAAGGTGCATGAAAACACCGTTTCTTCGACAACACTTGATTAGGTGTAGACCAGACGAGTGAAAATTATTATGATTCTGTCGCGGACAAATCTGCTGGGAGTCAGAACATGTATATAACAGAAGCACGAACTAAACAGCTCCTACACGCTATTTTGTGTATTATCCATTCATTCATGGATTTTTCTTATGCGACGAACATTGCTGTTTGTAAATGTCCTTTTGTGTAATGATTTTAAGAAATCGCTGTCAGGTATTGTCTGGTCAGGTCGGCATGCAAATATTTTAAAATGTTGCGGTGTAAACATTGAATACAAGTCAGTCGTTGCTGTTTCTCCGTTTATATTAAGAAAAGTCAAATTACATACAATGATACAATGTGAAATTCTGCTGTAGATTTAAGTTATATATTAAGAAAAACGTACAACGTAGTTCTTACGAAATTTCCGAGTAATTTGTTTTTATGAGGAATGTAAGAATATAATTCACCAAAGCATTGTCATTGTAGGTTTCACTGTAAAAAATGGCAATCCTATCCAGATGTAAACAGCTGGTTTGTCTCAAAAAATGTTAAAATATTATGGCTATTTTGATCGATAGAGGTCGCCAGTTACTTAGTCAACTAAGGCTCTTCAGAGAGTCACTTCATTGGTTGGTTCTGGCACTTGCTGGTCCATCATGTTGAGAGACACTTGGGACAAGAAAAAATAAAAATGTCTGAGAAAACAAAAATTATGAATCTAGTTTAAAAGTATGTGCTATGGTATTCAAATGTACATTATTCAGTAATATCAATACGTTTTTCTTAAGGTTGCTGTAATTTACCTGAACAAAATAGTTTTTTTTTGTAATAGCCTATGACATTGAAAAAAAAAAAAAAAAAACAGAAACTGAAAGAATTTTCATCATAGATCATAGTTTTTTTATTTGCATTTTTATTTGATAACACAGTAGATAGAAAATTTATGTTGCTAGAAATGTTGACTGAATAAACTCTGAATAATAGGTAAATGCTAGTATTATTAATCCCAGTGTACTACAGGAGAGTAGGCTATTCAAATTATGCATAAGAATTTATTTGGTTGACATTTGTTTTCTATGCATGTATGTATGTAACAGGTTGAGATGGACGTGTCTGGCCATAGTTTGTTCCTCCTGCAGCAGCTGAATGTCCAAAGGGAGTTTGGCTTTCTGTGTGACTGCACTGTTGCCATTGGCAACGTATACTTCAAGGCTCACCGTGCAGTCCTTGCTGCCTTCTCAAACTATTTTAAAATGATCTTCATCCACCAGTCCAGGTTAGCAAAAACTCCATTTTGAAATGTATCTTGAAGTGTACGGGTCACCCATCATGCTTACTCTGCTAATCAAATAAGCATGGGGAGGAAGTCAAGATAGCTTGATTGATAAACATTAAAAGTTGTAGCATATTATTAATAATGCTAAATATATTACAAATGCTTAATAACCATACTTTAAAAGAAATAATAAATTGCTGATTGTATTTTTAATTACTTTCCTGCTTTTTCAGTGAGTGCATCAAGATCCAGCCCACAGATATTCAACCAGATGTCTTCAGCTACCTGTTACACATCATGTACACAGGCATGGGTCCCAAACAACCCGTTGACCAGGGCAGACTTCAAGAAGGCATCAAGTTCCTCCACGCGTACCAGCTCTGCCGCAAAACAGGCGAAGGCGGCCCCGATGCATCTTCTGAGCCCATCCGTATGTCCAACCTGTATGGCATCCAGATCTCTTCACAGCTGGCCAGTAAAGAGAACTCTGGCCTGAAGGCTGGCGGTTCACGGGACCCTGAGGACGGCCGCTCCAGCACCAGGGCCGACCGCACACATGGCCGTTTAGCTCTCGCTGTAGGGCTGGAGGGCATTACGTCTGAGCGACAGCCTCAAAGCTTCCGCACCGCATCCTCGGTGGCCTCGGGGGACGACATTTCAGCACGGATCAAACAGGAAAGGGTAGAGGATGAAGAACAACAGGAAGGCGAAAAAGAGCCTTGCTCTCTCTCCCCAGCCCAGGTGAGTCTGGGTCTGTTCAAAGATGGCCCTCTAGCGCTTTTATGCCCCCGCTGCGGTGAACACTGTCTGTCACCTGAAGGCCTGCAAGAGCACCTATTTACCCACGCAGCCTGTGCCCTTGAGCCTAGCGGTCTGATGGAAGGCCCTTCAGAGGACAAAACCGGGGAGCACAAGTCCCTAGAGGAGAGGCGGCCTCATAAGGAGCGCATAGACTCTGGTAGTCTGGAGGAGGCCTTACGGCAGAGTCAGGCCCTGGCAGATGAGCTGGCCGTGGAACTCAGGCGAGGTGGTGGGACCGGACGGAGCGGCAGCCCGTTGGCAGCCTTCACGCGAAAACGAAAGATGGCCTGTGCCGTCTGCAACCTTCACTTCTCACAGAAGAGCCAGCTGCAGGAGCACATGTTCGCACATGTGGGCAAGCCGCTGCGATACCATCGCTACAGCCGCTTCTGCGGGCAGCTGCTCCATGGCTGCGAGGGCCAGCCAGATATTACCACAGCCACGGGAGAGGAGGCAGCCAAGGACACTCAGGATAACGTCAGCTCCTGCTACTCACTGGACTCTGAGGTCTCTCAGGAGAGCGTGGATGCAGTGACTGTGGAATGACGTAGCGTTTGACATATATTCATGCGAACACACAATGTCTGTTAAAGGAATATTCTGGATTTAGTACAAGTTAAGCTCTGTCGAAAGCATTTGTGGTAGATTGATTACAACAAATATTAATTTCCACCTGTCCCTCATTTTCTTAAAAAAAAAAAAGGAGCAAAAATCTTGGTTACAGTGAGGCATTTACAGTAGAATAGGGCCAATCTGTAAAAATATACATACTCACTGTTTCAATAAGACATAAGCAAACATGATTTTAATTTGTTAAAAAAATAAAGATGTATCCAATTTTACAACCTCCATGACAACATAAAGGCCAAAGTATACTTCAGTTTTTATGCATACACTGGAGTATGCGTACAGTGCTTGTGACATAGTACTTGGTTTTTAACAGAATAATGTATTTTTATGCTTTTAATTCCTCTAAAATTGGTCCCCATTCATTTAAATTCCAATGTGCTTTGCGATATCCTCAATTTTTGCTTTTTTAAGAAAACAGGGGGCGAGTCAAAATTATTTTGTGTCAATCAACATTATTCTTCAAATACTGTCGATTGAGCTTAACTTTTATTAAACCCGTAATTTTCCTTTACCTAATTTTGTTTTCTGCCTCAGCACTTCTGTCCTGTCACAAAAGTCCTTGTCAGTGTTAAAACATACACAAATTATAATTATAATGTCTTGATGATTGTAGTGTTGTTGTATAATGATGTTGCTGACTCTTGGATGACTGAACACTGTTGGATCAATTATATATTTAAAGGAAGTATTAGATTGACAAGCACATGCGCATGAAACTCAAATAGCACTATGAAGTGCCACATTTGACCACAATCAAAATATATATATTTTTTCAGAGGCCAGCTTAAGCTAATAACATGATTATTTCTTGTTTATTTTTGGGTTGTGGCCTAACGAGTGAAACTGACTGAGCGTAGAGTCTAAATGATTTCTTCCCTAAATATAAGACTATAAGAAACTGGTTCAGTGCCTTAGAACATTTTTGCCAAACATCT